TTGATGTGGTTCAGAGTGCACTTGATGCAGGGTGAACTACAACTCCTGTGTGGGTCAGTCTCCCCACAAACCCCTCCACTATGTTCTGTTGGTCATGGGGGTTTTGTGTCCCAAATTTGGTCCAGGCCCATCATTCGTGGGGGTCTCATTGGTCTGTTGTAGTGGGTGAAGGTACTGCAAATCCCATCGTCTGTGGTCCATCCTTTCCCAACCCTCACCAGGACAGAAAAATTCACCAGTGTGCCAAATTTGGTCCAGGTGCATCACTTGTTCAGATCACAGTGGTTTTCTGGAAGTGAGTGAAGAAACTGCAAATCCCATCATCTCTGGTCCATCCTCTTCCAAACCGCACCAGGACATAAAGTGGGTTATGGCATCTGTATGCCAAGTTTGGTCCAGGTCCGTCATTCATGGGTGTCACGGGTATTCTCCCCTTATGTGGATGAAGCTACTGCAAATCCCACTGTCCTTGGTCCATCCTCTTCCGAAGTGCACCAGGACGTATAGTGGGTCATGGGGGGTTTGTGTGACAAGTTTGGTCCAGATCCATCATTTGTGGGGATCACAGTAGTCTCTAGATGTGGATTAAGCTACTCCAAATCTCATCATCTGTGGTTCATCCTCTTCCAAAGCACATCAGGACATATGGTGGGTTATGCTGGGTCTGTGTGACAAGTTTGGACCATTTTCTCCCAAAGTACACCAGGACGTGTAGTGGGTGATGGGCGGGAGGGTATGCCAAGTTTGGCCCAGGTACATAATACGTGTGGGCTGCAATGGTATATGGAAATAAGTGGAGATACTGCAAGTCCCATCATCCATGACAAGTGTGGTCCAGATCCATCATTGGTTGGGTTCACAGTACTCTCTGGATGTAGTTGAACCCAACTCCTATAAATCATGGTGAATTACTGTTTACTGTGTGCCATAAGAAAGGGTAGTAAAGGGTTAAGGGAAAGGCAGTGGGGTGGGGTCATGCAAATTCCACAGCAATGGAAAGAGTAAGGAACCCTGGGATGTCCATTCTGGAGGAAAAACAGAACATCTATGATGAAATTGTCCCCAAATGAAAGCATTCCTGGTTGGTGGGCAGTATGGTGCTTGGGGAGGACCTTGGCAGGGACTGGACTACATGTTCATGACGCCCGCTATAAACTGCAATGTCTTTGGAGGGAATGCTGTGGGTGGCTCCTCGGTGCTATGGGCTAAGGATGTTTGTGGAGGTGGGAAGCTGTCTGTGTGAGTAGACACCTCCGCCACATGAACACAAAGATAGTAGTATGATATAAAATATATAGTATATTAGTATAGCATAATAGTATTGTATTTATTATATTGGATTGTATTATTATATTGCAATATTATTAGTAGCATTATACACAATATACTAGTTTTACTATATTACAACATTATTATTTCTATATATTACTAGCCGCCCCCTGCCACGTGTTGCTGTGGCCCAGTCTGTGTATATGTGTTTATATATAATGTGTTTATATATATTTGTGTATATATGTGTGTTTGTGTGTGGTTTTGTCCATGCGTTGTAATGTATTCTTTGTTTTGGGGTTTTTAAAGTCTCTTCTGCTGCGTTTTTCAGTGTTTATATGGGTGATGGTCACTCGTTGGCCTGATAGGTGTATTTTGTCCAAATTTTGTGTCAGTTCGTCCAGTGGTTTTTGAGTTATGTAAATCCCACAAACGAACATTACATTTTATATATACAGATTGTATTGTATTGTTACAAATATTGTATAATAATACTAATATATTATTATATTGTATTATATTATATTGCAGTATTATTAGCAGTATTATACATAATATATTAGTATTATTATGTTATTATTTCTATATATTCTTATATTGTATTGTTGAAGGCTTTCATGGCCAGAATCACTGGGTTATTGTAGGTTTTTTCGGGCTATATGGCCATGTTCTAGACCAAATTTGGTCCAGTGAATGAAAATACATCCTGCATATCAGATATTTACATTACAATTCATAACAATAGCACAATTACTTACTTACTTAGGCAATCCCTCGTGTCCCAGGATGGTGGTCCTCCAACGTTGGTGTTCTGGCGGTGGATCCGTAGGTGACCGTGGAGCCCTATTCTTGATCTCCATCTTCTCCTGCAGTGAGGGCATCGGTTTCCAGGTGGAAGGCAGTCCCGGTCAGGGTTGCTTTGACACATCTTCCTCTTGGCATGTTTCTCTCTTTCCCCCTCCATTCGTGCCTCTTCAAATTACAGCACTGCTGGTCACAGCTGACCTCCAGCTGGAGCGCTCAAGGGCCAGGCTTCCCAGTTCTCAGTGTCTATGCCAGAGTTTTTAAGGTTGGCTTTGAGCCCGTCTTTAAATCTCTTTTCCTGTCATCCAACATTCCGTTTTCCATACTTGAGTTTGAAATAGAGCAACTTTGGGAGAGGGTGGTCGGGCACAATTACAGTTATGAAGTAGCAACAAAAATAATGTTATGTTTGGGGGTCAGCACAACATGAGGCTTAGGCAAAAGTGAACTGCTGTGGTCTTGCCTAGCTTGTGTGTGCTTTAGTTATAACTTTTGCCATCTTGGCTACATTCTGATGTTGGCCAGCCACATGGCTCAGTTTTTATCTGTGAATTGCTGGAGAGCATGTCCAGGATAGATTACTGCAACACGCTCTATGTGTGGTTGGCTTTGAAGACGGTTTGGAAACTTCAAATAATCCAATGAGAGAGATGGGCCAAAACTAACAAAATGAAGTACAACTGTGACAAATGCAAGCTACTCCACTTAGGCAAAAACAAACAAACAAAAAAAACGAAATGCAAAGATACAGAATGGCGGACAATGCCTGGCTTGAGAGCAGTACGTGTGAAAAAGATCTTGGAGTCCTCGTGGACAACAAGTTAAACATGAGCCAACAATGTGATGAGGCGGCAAAAAAAGCCAATGGGATTTTGGCCTGCATCAATAGGAGCATAGTGTCTAGATCTAGGGAAGTCATGCTACCCCTCTATTCCGCTTTGGTTAGACCACACCTGGAATATTGTGTCCAATTCTGGGCACCACAATTCAAGAGAGATATTGACAAGCTGGAATGTGTCCAGAGGAGGGCGACTAAAATGATCAAGGGTCTGGAGAACAATCCCTATCAGGGGTGGCTTAAAGAGCTGGGCATGTGTAGCCTGGAGAAGGCTGAGAGGAGAAATGATAGCCATGTATAAATATGTGAGAGGAAGTCATAGCGAGGAGGGAGCAAGCTTGTTTTCTGCTGCCGTGGAGACTAGAATGCGGAACAATGGCTTCAAACTACAAGAGAGGAGATTCCATCTGAACATGAGGAAGAACGTCCTGACTGTGAGAGCTGTTCAGCAGTGGAACTCTCTGCCCCGGAGTGTGATGGAGGCTCTTTCTTTGGAAGCTTTTAAACAGAGGCTGGATGGCCATCTGTCGGTGGTGCTTTGAATGCAATATTCCTGCTTCTTGGCAGGGGGTTGGACTGGATGTCCCATGAGGTCTCTTCCAACTCTATGATTCTATGAGAGGCAGCCAGGTAAATAACTGGGGTGGCATACAGGGAGCACACAACTACCATGTTACGTCAGCTTCACTGGCTGCCTGTTTGCTACTGGGAATAATTCAAATTGCTGGCTTTGGCCTATAAAGCCCCAAACGGTCCAGCCCAGTTTACATGTCCAAACGCATCTCCCTTTACAAACCACTGGGGAAACTCATCCTTATTTTTACCTTACTCCCCTCCCCCATTATACTGTTCCCCATCACTACCCCCTCTTTTCCCTTCACTAATTCAACCTCTCCTTCCTTTTCTTTTTTATGTAAACTGAAAACTTTTCAATAAAGATATACATTTATATATATTAAAAACCACTGCGGAAACTAAGATCTTCTGGGGAGGCCCTGCTCTCGGTCCCGCCACCATCACAGGTGTGTTTGGCAGGGATGAGAGACAGGGCCTTTTCAGTGATTGCCCTCTGGTTATGGAACTCCCTTCCTGGCAATATTAGATTAGCCCCCTCCCCCCTGTCCTTCAGAAGGATGGTGAAGACCTGGCTGTGGGACCAAGCCTTTGGGGCAGTGCAATGAGGCAAAATGGTGTCCTGAGATGGTTTTTAAGCCACTTTTAACGTGGATATAAGTGATTTTAATGTGTGTGTGTGTGTGTGTGTATACATATACATACATACGAGGGGTATTTTTTAAGTAAGGTCTGTTTTGTTGTAGACACTAGTATACCGCAACGAGCGCGTGCGTCGTGTACCGGCATGCCTCGGGAACAACTGTGCTCAGTTTCCGCTCTGT